GGGTATGTCGTGGGTGGGGGTGTCGGGGGGCGTGGGGCTGGGTATGTCGTGGGTGGGGGTGTCGGGGGGCGTGGGGCTGGGTATGTCGTGGGTGGGGGTGTCGGGGGGCGTGGGGCTGGGTATGTCGTGGGTGGGGGTGTCGGGGGGCGTGGGGCTGGGTATGTCGTGGGTGGGGGTGTCGGGGGGCGTGGGGCTGGGTATGTCGTGGGTGGGGGTGTCGGGGGGCGTGGGGCTGGGTATGTCGTGGGTGGGGGTGTCGGGGGGCGTGGGGCTGGGTATGTTGTGGGTGGGGGTGTATAGTGCAGAGGGGTGGGAGTTAATTTGTTGGCGCCACGGCAGCGCTAATTCCGATTCGGGCGTCAGTAGTGTATGGTGCTGTTGCAACAAGATTCAAGATTCCACGAGCTGCAAGGCACTAAGTGAATGGGGTGGGGTGATCTGTTTCAGTTGGTTGAATGGGAAGGCCCACCCCAAATCAGCACCAGTGCTTTTGGCTTGGTTTCCAGAGCGGGAACTGAACCAGTGACCTTTGAGTTCAATGTGCAAGAGTGAGCAATGAGCCAAGGCTGCTGCCTTCGTACAGTTTTCAAGGGGCAGGGAGGGGTGCTGCAGCGACACTAAATCTGGCACCGAATGATAACTCTGGAGCAGCCCATGGTTCTGTCAAGCTGGTGCTATCTTGCTGTGTCTGGTTTCTGCACAAGGGCATGCTCTCCATTCTTTACTGTATGTATACAAGATAGTGGGACAGCTCGTGACCAAGCAGCTTGCTGTGTGTTTGGCTTTGCACAGACATCACGTAGTGTTGGGTGACGCATGGACTGTGGCCCTGCAGAACTCTGGGAGCTGCCATTTTCCAGCAACAGCTTGAATTTACGCAGCGCTGCCTAGACATGATTCAGGGGAACAGGTATCATCAAACATCACTTCCAGGGGCAGGTGACCCAGAGCTTGCTTGGGAGGAAAGGGTGGGTTTCAAGGAGGCCAGACAGGCAGGAGAGGCCTGAGAGAGAAAATCCAGAGCCCGCAGCTCTGGCAGCTGAGGGCACAGCTGCCAATGGTGGAGCGATTTAGAAAAGAAATCTACTGTAAAACCTTAGAAAAGAAACTGGGCAGGAGGGGCGCAGAGATCTTGGAGGGTCACAGCGCTGGAGGGTGGCGCAGAGATCTGGAGTACTGTGGTATGGTGGATTTTGACAGACAGTTCAGGCAGTTTGTTGTCTTGCCTCTCGGGTGGTGGTGGTGGGGGCAGGATTGAGGGGGGAGGTGTGGGTTGGGAAAACAGTGAGGGGGAGTGTATCGGCAGATAGTGAGGATTGGGGGGGCCCAGGCTCTCTGATTCTGCCAGTAGCCTGTGCGTTCTAACAGAGTTACCAGCAGGGTTTAACTCTCCGATGGTTTGCATTGTTCCGTTTGTCTGGTTGCTCTGGAGTCTGGGCTGCCCCCTCACTGGACTGGCCTAGCTGATGGGAAACAGTCGGTTTGTCAGAACCCAGCAAGGTACAGCCTGGATCTCCCTGGGACCTGCTGTGACAGCACCTCGACAGTCAGGAACTGTTTTCGGGTTGTGTTTCAGCCCCTGCCCTGGTTTTTGGCTGGTACAAAGAAGCTGTCAATAAGGGTTTTACCAGTAAGCTTTGGGTCACTCTACTTTCTTCTCTGAACTTACACAGTGATACTGTCCTACTGCTATGTGTCAGATTGTGAGGAGGAATTGTCAGGCAAAGGAAAAGCTCGTGTAGTAATTCTGGTGTAGCAAGGGGGCTGTTTGGCCCATTGAATCCATGCTAGCCCTTCTGTGGAGGAATCCAGTCAGTCCCATTTCCCCCACTCCATCCCTGGAACCCTACAGGTTTATTTCCCTCAAATGCCGGTCTGATTTCCTTCTGAAACGATGAATTGTCTCCGCAAGGTTTAAATGTTCTGCCCGTTGTTCCTCTTCACTGGTATTTTTTGCTCAAGGTCTTTAACCTATGCCCTCACCTCTTTGTACCATCATTTGGGAGCAGCTTTTCCTATCTGCCTTATCTAAACTCACCATCATCTTGTACACCTTGCTGAAACCTCCCCAAACCACCTCTGTTCCAAGGAGACTAACACCTCCAACCCATCCCCACTTGTACCACCAGCATTTGTCACTGTGCCACTCTTGACCAGCATTAAAGCTGACAAGGGACTTGTGAATTGCAGGCCCTGGGTACGTAGGAAACTAACTGGTCTTGAGCTGCCCATCTCCATACATTTTTTTAAACAGTGACTCCATTTCAGCCGTTACTTCGTTGTGAATGAGCCTCGGAGCTGCCGTAGCCATTAACCTCTGCTCCAGCAGACTCCAGCCCAATTAGGGACGTATTGTCATGCTCACCCGAAGAGAGTCAACCAATCAATAAACACCCCCTTTTGGTGCCTGTTAGCCAGAAGGTAACCATGTATCCTTGAGTGTAGCATTGCCGCTCTGGCCCCCTACGCATCCCCACCTACCTTTGCCAGGCCACTGATGGCACTGCCTTTAATATCCAGGGGCAGGCTCCTGGAATTCCCACGTCACACACCGCTCACTGTTTGTAAGGAGCACACCTTAATATGCTGTTCTGGCACTCTGCTCCCTGTGCCCACTACCCCATGGTGCTCGCTGACTTCTCAGCTACAGCCTCATCGTGATGCTTACATTCTCACCTTCCTATTCAGGTCCATCCATTAGAGTGCTCTCACTCTCTCTAATTTCCTTGAACCTAAATCCTCCAAGATGTTCACACTCCCTTTATTCTGGCTTCTAAACGCTTGCAATTTTAATCACTCCACCATTGGCAGCCATGACTTCAGCTCTCTGAGCCACAAGCTCTGAAAGTCCCTCCCGCAATCCCTCCATCTCTCTCTGTCCCCATCCCCAGTTTCTTCCTCCTTGCCTCTCCCAGTCCTGCTCCCCCCTCGTCTTCCCTCCATTTCCTCCTTTTAAAAGCTGCTTTAAACCACCCTATGACCAAGCTTCTGGTCATCTGACCTACTATCTCCTTTTGTCTCTCGGTGTCAAATTTTGTTTATCAGTCCCAATTCCTTGAAAGGGTGTGTTGCTTTCTGAAGAAAGGCTGGGCAGACTATTGGCTTGTACCCACTGGAGATGTCAGGGAGTCAGGTGATTTCATTTCAGTGTAAAAGATCTGAAGTGTCTTTACTGGGTGGGTATGCAAAGGATGTTCCCATTTGTCAGAGAGTTTAGAACTGGCGTTCGCTCGCTGTTTAAAAATAAGGGGCCTTCCATTGACAGAGAAGGAGAAATTTGTTCTCTGGTTAAGAGTCTTTGGAACTCTCTTCCTGAAAACATGATGCAAGAGTAGCCTTTGAATCTTTTTCAAGGCTACAAATGTAGTTTCTTGACATTCAGTTCTTTGAAATTTGTGTCACAGGTAGACAGGGTGGTTAAGAAGGTGTTTAGCACGCTTGCCTTCATTGCTCAGACCTTTGAGTATAAGAGTTGGGACGTCATGTTGAGGTTGTACAGGATGTTGGTGAGGCCTCTTGTAGAGTACTGTGTCCAGTTCTGGTCACACTGTTATAAGAAGGATATTATTGAGCTGGAGAGGCTTCAGAAAAGATTTACCAGGATGTTCCTGGGAATGGATGGATTGAGTTATAAGGAGAGGCTGGGACTTTTTTCACTGGAGCATAGGAGGTTAAGGGGTGACTTTATACAAGTTTATAAAGTCATGAGGGGGTTAGATAAGGTGAATAGCAGGTGTCTTTTCCTTAGGGTGGGGGATTTCAAGACCAGGGGACACATTTTTAAGGTAAGAGGAGAAAGATGTAAAAAAGACATGAGGGGCAACTTTTTCTCAGTGATTCGTGTGTAGAATGAACTTCTCGAGGAAGTGGTGAACAGTGGTACAGTTACATCGTTTAAAAGACATTTAGATAAGAACATGATTAGGAAAGGTTTGGAGGGAAATGGTTGAAGCGCAGGCAGGTGGGACTAGTTTAGTTTGGCATTATGGTTGGCGTGGACTGGTTGAACTAAAGGATCTGTTTCCATGTCGTATGTCACTATGGCTATGACTATAATATGGTGAAACATTACCAGAGGCTGTTGGAAATGATGAACAGGCTTGAGGGGCTGAATGGCCGTTACCTCTTAATTTGTATCTTCAGATGTAAGAAGTAAGACTATGAATAGGCCATTGGGCCCCTCGAGCCTGTTCTCCCATTCAGTAAGATATGGCTGACCTGATTGCCGTTTAGCCTCCTCTTGCATGTCTAATGCCAATGTCCTTCAGCTTCCTTGTTGGTGAAGAATCTATCTACCGCCGTTTTAAAGATACTCACTGACTCCTGCCTCCCTCACCCTCTGGGGAAAGAGTTTTCCCACAAGTTCACAGTCCACAGGGAGAACTTTCTCCTTTTCTCCATCTTAAACTGGAGCCTTTATTCTGAAACTGAATCCATTAGTTCTGGCTTCTCCCAACTTAGAATCATTGAATCCAAACAGTGCGGAATGAGGCCATTCAGCAAGTCCACACTGACTTTCCAAAGAGCATCCCACCCAGACTCAACCCCCTCACACTATTCCTTTAGCCCTGCATTTCCTGTGGCTAACCCACCTAGCCTGCACATCCTTGGACACCATGGACAATTTAGCACGGCCAGTCCACCCTAACCTGCACACCTTTAGACTGTGGGTGGAAACCGGAGCACCCGATGCAGACGCGGGGAGAATGTA